TTGGTGACGGGGGGGGGGGGAGAGGAGAGAGAGAGAGAGTTGAAACAAATGCATCAAAAGCTTTCTGGTACACATAATATATAGAGAGGTGAAGGACGCATGCACTACCCTATACAAGTACTTGGGAATTTGCATTGGAGTTGCAGATTTGGCGCCCGTAACCTTCCGTAAATCACACCTTGCTTAAATTAGCGCACGAGACATCCACAGCATACTATACAAAACCATACAAATTGGCCCTCAATCTGCCCGTCACAAACGGGCTGTTTGGAATCGCAGTGCTCTGCTGCCACCAAGTGCACACAAACGGAACTGCGTGCGATGTTGAACATCATGCAGCACTGCAGTAATGTAAATGTACTGCAAGAGTTCCTCTTTTTAAATAAATAAAAAAAAAACCTAATGAAAAGAAAGCTGTACCAAGCCAAACATCACGGAGCGCTCCTTGTAAAACAATGCACCCCCTTCCAAACAAGTTGTGCACTTGTCTGGTAAGTGTATCGTGCTCCCCCTGATATCTTAGGCACATCAGTCACACCGTGCTTAATTTATCAGTACATTACTCTGAATTTGGATAATTGATGATGAAAGTAAAGCACCCTCTGCCCGACTGGCTGCAGGATTATTAGTATTTAGGACATGTATTCTCATGGCACCACCATATTACTTTTTACCCTCATATTAAGCTATAAAAACATAAGCTTACATTGCTTTAGGTCCTCGGTTCTCAACTGGTTGGTTGTGACCCTGTGTTCAGTGGGTCACCGCGTTCCTTCCATTTATCTAGGCGAGAGGCTTCTCAGCCTCCCCCTAGCGCAGCACTGTCAGTTCTCATGCCAAGCAGCCATTTAAAATATACTGCCCGGTGCAGTGTCAGCTTGAGGTGGGGTGTGGGATATGGCCGTGAGGGAGCTCCTCCATACTGCATTGCTTACAGCTCCCTCATGTGTCCTGTAGAAGTGCCTGGACCCGAGTGCCGTCACATTCTGGCTCCCGGAACCTCTGCAGCCTTGGTTCTCAACTGGTGGGTCGTGACCCAAAAGTGGGTCGCGACCCCATGTTCAGTGGATCGCCATGCACCTTCCACTTTTCTAGGCGAGAGGCTCCTCAGCCTCCCCCTAGCGCAGCACTGTCAGGTTCTTGCACCAAAGCAGCCATTTAAAATATGCTGCCCGGTGTCATGTCAGTTTGAGGTGGGGTGTGGTGGGCTGGGGGTATGGCCGTGAGGGAGCTCCATCCATACGTGCATTGCTTACAGCTCCCTCACATGTCCTATAGAGGTGCCTGGACTGATATGACATCACATTCTGGCTCCTGGCACCTCTACAGGGCATGCACCAATGGATGAAGCTTTGTCACAGCACAGCAGCGCACACTGGACCCCAGGCTGAGGATCCACTCCAGTTCTTGTGAGGTAGAGAGACTGGGTGGATCTTAAAAGGAAAAAAAAAAAAGTACTTTTGTTTGGAGTGTGTATGTGTGGTTGAGAATGTCTGAGTGTGTGAGATTGCGTTTGTGGTTATGTATGTCATGCAGTGTTTTTGAGGGCCCGTTCCTACTAGTGCAGTGCGTTAATCGAGCAGCCGCGTATGATTATCGCACTGTACCACGCAAATCACACCTACTGTGTATTCTGGTGTGGGAGATGCCATTCATTTGATGCGCCTTACGCAGTTCTATCGTCCAAAACGCGGTATCTGCTGGTGTATGTCCAGCTTAATATATTGCTAAACCTGCATTGCATCAGTGCTTTGCCAGAAGGGAGGAATCTTCCAAATGCTCCTCCTGAATACTGTGAAAATAAAGAAGTATTCACCTGCCACCCCGTATACCAGGGGTGGGCAAACTCTGACCCTCCAACTGTGGCGAAACTACAAATCCCACCATGCATCTACCTCTGGGAGTCATGTCTGTGGCGGTCAGACTCTTGCAATACCTCATGTGATTTGTAGTTATTAGGGAGGCGCCGATACCAGTTTTTCGGTATCGAGTACTGATATTTATATTTCGGTACTCGCCAATACCAAGTACCGATACCGCTACTTCTGGTAGCATGGAACCAGCTACCAGGCCAATAAGGAAGCCAGGCAGCGGGTAATGGCCTGCCTCCCAGATTCTTGATTGCCCGGGAAGCTGGCTCGATGCCGATTGGCCGGGAACCCAGATAATCAGCATTGAACCTGATTCCAGGCCATTCAGGAAGCTGGGAGGCAGGTCATTACCCGCTGCCTGGCTTCCTGATTGGCCGGGTAACAGGCTACATGCTGTTTGGCCAGGAAGCTGACTCCATGTTCCTTTGCCGCACGGCCGGTCAGAGGAAATTTGCCTCTGACCGGAAGTGTCGATATCGGGATAAGTATCAGAGCATTTGAGCAAGTACGAGTACTCACCCAAATACTCGGTATCAGCACCGATACTGATAATAGTATCGGTACATAACTAGTAGTTACACCACAGCCGGAGGGCCCGAGTTTGCCCACTTCTACAACTTGACACCGTCTTTTTTTTTTTCTTTACTTCTCCAATACTGAAAGTACTTCATAAGCTGTTATTTTAGGCAGGGTGGGGGTGACCAATATGTCTGTTGGGCTGTAAAATAAGATAACAATCCAGGCGACGATCACCTAGAGGGCCCATTCCAGACAAAATAGGACAATTACACCTTATTAAAGCAAATCAGCTTCTCTGAATGAATGTTTGCGAAGCAGCATGGCAGTAGCCCGTCTCCTGACAGCTGTGTTGTAATAGATATTTTTGCCTTTTGCTTGCCACTGTGCCAAATGCAATTTTAATTCCCCGCAATTACGCTCGGCTCGCGCCGTACATCGCTTTTGATAAGGGCTGAAAGAGGGGAGCCGTGCGGGTCCGCCTGAGTGTGCTTACAGCTTTTAAACAGTCTGCAGGTGAAAGGGAAGGAACAGCGGAAAATATTTCCCGTGCGTTAGCCGCGATTGTCTGCAACAATTAAGAGGAAAACGGCCCGCGGTTTAAACAATCAAAATCCGCTCGACAGCTGCTTAGCATTTTTTGCTCTGCGGTTGGCGTGGCGTAATTTTCAGAGAAGTGGTCACATCTGTGTTCTTTACCTTGTGCATGGTGCTACCCAGCTGGGCAGGAGACATACTGACAACCACTCCGGCTCTCTGCAAAGCCGCAATTTTCTCTTTGGCACCGCCTTTACCACCAGCGATAATGGCCCCGGCGTGTCCCATCCTCCTCCCTGGTGGGGCTGTGAGACCGGCAATGAAAGACACCACCGGCTTCGCATTCGGACCCTGTTGATAATAAAAGTGTTTTTAAAAAGAGGAATACTTTCTATGTTTCAGATATACATGTGCATGAGATCAATATAAAAAGGCATTGCAAAGAAAACTGAAGACACTCCGCTTATTTGGGACTGTACAGTATAGCAACAGCGCAGCAACTATCATTTTGCCTATTGAGGGCAATGACAGAGTCTCTTTAAAGCACGGCCCTTCACCCCAATAACACTCTCCTTTTCTATGTTCCTCCAGGATTAACCCGTGTAAGCCGCATGTCCAAGATGACACAGGGTCAGGGATGTCAACCTCCTCATATCACCGTGTTTGAACCTAGAGATTGGCCATTAGGCTTGAGCACTGGGAAGTGGTCACATGCTCCTCAATAACTGGCAGTGCCAGGAAGTTTGCAATGGCACAACCAAACAACGCGCAAGTTACTGTCACTTGGTGCATTCTGGGCAAAGTGACAGTCTCTTTAGAGCTTGGGGAGGGAGGGATCATGCGAGGTTCATGATATGCCGGATGTCAATAAGATGAGATTTTGAAGCATAAGGTGTGTGGACAACATGTCTCCTATGCATTATTGTGGCTTCATCCACCAGTGGTTCCAGCACCTGATTTCAAAGGGGTATACTGGTATGGTGCGCTATGGAGCTATAGCTATAATCTTTAAAGAACTCCAGAAATTGTTTTTAATTGACCCTTGCAGTGGGGCTACTGGATGCAGCACCCTTTCAGATCCGTACACGTGATTTGGTGGCTCTACAGCTGCTGTAGCGGTTATCTTGCCATTAACCACTTTAGGACCAGGACGATAAAGTGACCCTGTGACCAACATTCAAAAATTGCAATAAAAGCAAAGAAAATGCGAGTATTTTAAAGGCTTACTTGCAGTCTCACATTTTTTTCTTCACATGCAATGTTGCTTTGGAGTTTGTAAGAAAATGTGGCTACTCCTAGAAGAGTTAATTCTCTATCACAGGTGTCAAACACAAGGCCGAAGGACAAATCCGGCCTGCCAAGCCGTTTCATGTGGCCCTTACACCTCTCCTGCAGCTTTACATTTTTAAACCGAAGCCGGCACTGTAAACAGGCGTCGGGCTTCTCAGAAAGGCTGCCAAGGTTTCCAGAATGGTCCCGGCAGCCTTCCTATAAATCGCGGTGCCTGTTTACACCGGCTGAAAATCTCCTCCTTCCTGTGGATGCATGCCGCCTACACCTGCCAAGATCGACTGCAAGCCCTGGTGAGACCGCACAGCCCTCCTGTGACCCCGTACAGCCCAGAATAGATCCCACACAGCCACCTGAGAGTTCACACAGATCACCCGAGAGTTCGCACAGCCCACCATGGAACCTGCAAAGCCACCCAAGAGTCTGCACAGCCCACCATAGAACCTGCACAGCCCCCCATAGAACCTGCACAGCCCCCCATAGAACCTGCACAGCCCCCCATAGAACCTGCACAGCCCCCCATAGAACCTGCACTATTACACTAATTGCCATTTTTTCCACTAGACTTCTACTTTTCACAGCCAGTTATTACTAAAACCAATTGCAGAGGTAATTATTAAATATGATTAAAAAAAAAGTAGATACATGTATATAGTCTTACAGATACAACAGGACATTTGAGGGCAACCATAATGCTGATGCGGCCCGTGATGAAATAGGAGTTTGACGCCCATGCTCTAGCACAACCTTTTTCCTCCATGCACATCATATCCCTCTCCTCGGAGGGTCTTATTACTCCCTCTGCTGGCCCAGCTCCTCCACCCCTCTCCTTTCTACAAATTATTTATATAGCAACCGGGGGAGGAACGAAAGAGTACGATAGAATAGACTACAATAGAGTGTCACATCTGATTTGGCTGACACCACATCCGAGATGGTGGCACTTAGCAGCAGTCTCAGGGCTTTTGAATGTCTACCCAAGGGGGACTTTTACAGGTAAAGAACTTGCATAAAATAAGCTACATGCATATATAAGCTCATGGGAAGATTTGTTTGTTGAAATGAATGACCTAGCGACAGGGTCTCCTGGAGAACCGCCATCTCTCACAAATGGAGCGGACAGACTAAACATTCAGGTGGAATAAGAAGCCGTAATGGAAGTACAATGCATGCCTAGGGCTCGCAGCAGTGTTTTCTCGCTCATAACTAACCAGCACAAGAAGTGGCAGAGAGAAAACACCTACAGATGTCAAGGTTGCGTGTGAAGAAAGAGCACAGCTTGCCAGCTGATGAATGGACCATCGCAAGATTTCTAACCAAACAAATGCTGTGCCTTTTATTTCCCATAAACCTCCACGATGAGGGCCCCCTGCTCCCATGCCAAGATGAAGAGCAGTTTAACATATCAATTTACAGGGTCCCTGACTAAAATAAAATTCAGCTGCCCAGCAAGGAAAAAAAATAAGATATAAATAAAATCCACGATCATAGTTTTGCTGCTAAAGTCGAAGGGCTAATTTCAGCACCTCCAGCATTTAACAAAATACATTTGTCTGGAATTGAATAAGGAAAAAAAAAAAAGGAGAGCAGCTCACTTGTAAATTATTGTGATAAATAAGAAAGCAAGTATAATCGATGTGCAGGCCGGACTGTTTAGCCAGGCGGAGAACAAAACGACAAATCAGGAAACGTTTCAATTATTTATTCATTACTTGCAATACAATAGAGGACGCCGGGCCAATAAACACTTTTTAGCCCGTTATAAAGAACAAATCGATGGCTTGCAACTTCTGCTCCCGCCACAACGTGCAAAATGATCCAAAACTGATAGCAAAAGGGAGCGGATAGAGCGCTATAGCAAATGTGCAGACACAGGATTTCTAAAAAAAAAAAAAAGCTATCCCTTATTTGTCAGTGGAAGACAGAAAGAAGGCTCAGGCCAATCATTGCAACAAGAGAGATCCCTCAGTACAATGTCAACTCTGACAGCACAAAATGTTGCTGTATAATTGGAAGGAATGACTAACATTTGCCCAGGTTAGAACCCTTTAACAATGCTGTCAGTAAAGAAAAATACCGGTCGATTCTGCCAGAAAAATAATAGCATTAGCTTTAAACAAGAAAACTCAGTTGTCAATAGTACAGGTGAAACTGGAATAATTAGAATATCGTGCAAAAGTAATTTCAGTAATTGCTGCAAAAGGGGCCCAAACCAAGTACTGAGTACATATGCATGCTTGTACTTTTCAGAGGTCCGATATTGTTCTATGTACAATCTTTGTTTTATTGATTGCATGTAATAATCTACTTTTTTGAGGTTGTGGATTTGGGGTTCTTGGGGTTTTCATGAGCTGTAAGCCATAATCATCACAATTATGACAAATCACGGCTTGAACTATCTTGCTTTGCATGTAATGAGTCTATCTCATATATTAGTTTCACCTTTTAAGTTGCATTAGTGAAATAAATGAACTTTGCACGATATTCTAATTATTCCAGTTTCACCTGTATGTTTCCTAACAAGGTGCTATGACTGCACCCTAATACTGGATCTTGTGATACTTGGATTAGCTACAGGATTGGCATTGCACTGTGACCTTTCCAATAAAGTGACCCAGTCCTGTACATGTTCTAAAGCTCGGACCAGCGGCAGATTAGTCTGATCCTGCAAGTGTTATAATTTGCTAAATGACTGGTCTGGCAGAGAATGTGTCCATCTAAGAGTTTTGGTGGCCTGACTGTTCCAAGCAATAAGTTGACTGCAGTAGCTGTGAACATCAAGTCAGGTTCCGGCTCCCTAGAGGGTCATAAGGAGCACTGCATTGGAAGAACTTGGTACTGTAGATACTGGATAACTTCTTTGTGATTGAGCACGATAGTGTTCTACCCAGACATAGAGATGTACTATTGCTCTGGTTGCGATGGTAGATTGACTAACCTTGAATGTGCTAATGGTCAAGAATATGAGTGGACTCTGTAAGCTTTGTAAAACTCCATCACACCATAGTCCAGCTCGGTGACCAATGTTAATGTTCATGTTGTAGGTTGAACTCGATGGTCTTTTTTTCAACCTGACCAACTATGTAAGATGATCAAGTCCACTTGATTTCATATTCTAGTGGGTCACAAGTTGGTCAGGTCCAGTGGTGATTTCATGTTCTGGTTGGCCACAATTTGGTCAAGTTCAGTGATGATTTCATGTTATGACTGGCCACAAGTTGGTCACGTCCAGTGATGATTTCATGTTCTGATTGGCCACTAGCTGGTCAAGTCCAGTGATGATTCTAATGGGCTACAAGTCAGTAAAATCCAGTGATTATTTCATGTTCTAATTGGTCAGGTCCAGTGATGATTTAATGTTCTGACTAGGCACAAGCTAGTCAAGTTCAGTGATGATTTCATGTTCCGATTGCCCTCGAGTTGGTCCAGCACTGTAAATTCTCTAATGCCAAGATTGGCTACTAGTTGATCTAGTCCTATGACCATTATGAGAAGTACAGAACATTCTGAAATCAGACAGAATCCTGTAACTAGGCAATGCAAAGGAGTCTAAAAACATTGTAATTTAGTGCACTTTGAGCACCTAGACTGTCTCCTCGCTAAACAGTTTAGCAGCACAAGTACGGCATCTCTAATGATTTCCATTCTCTAGTCAAGATAAGAATCACAAACACGGCTTGCAGTTTAGATGCGGATACTTTAAAGGCACCCCGTTAAAAGCTTAACTGGATTTATGCCTTGGGCTTAGCAGAAATATACTACCGTGCCCTGTGCTCCAAGCTGTAATGGAGTATTTAAACAATCACAGAATAGGGCCAGGCCATCACACCGCCGTATATTTTATTCAGACAAAAGGTGTACTGAAACAGCATTTGCGCTCAGCAGTTTTAAGGCGCGTAAGTCATGGTTTAATGTCGCGTAATAGAAAAGGTACAGCTACACTGTAAAGAGGAACACGGTTTAAAAGTTACCATCGTTAAAGTTGAATATAAGGCTGTATAAAAAGCACAGGACCAAGCAGAGGAGTGCTCGGTATATAAAACCACAGACGCCATCTGCATTACTTGTTTACTCTGTGAAATAAAGCTTCTGATAAAGACGGGCTGCAGTCTGGGGAGCTATTCTCTTGCATTAAGAGGAAAACTCTAGTCAGGAGAAACGTTATCAGTACTCATGTAATGTGCACTTGCCGTTCTTTTCTTTCTTTTTGACTTTCAGCCATCAGAATGTTCCTGATGAGAGCTGAAGACTTGTCTCCAAGAAGGAAGCAGATGGGGAATGATTTAGCTGTAAATAAAAATGCATTGACCGGAACAGCTACCAGGTTGTCTGGAACTCAAAGAAGCAGGTAAATTCCCGAGATCGGAGTCACTTCCTGCTACAGGCAAGAATCCTAAAGCTGGCCATATACCTATATATTTCTTTCCATCAGCCCATGCTCAGATGGAAAAAGTGGATGGAGGAATCTCCCACTGGGCCAAGCTTCGGTATCTTGCTAGTCGGCCCCTCTTGCTAGTTGGCTCTTAAAACACCAGAACAATGCCTGCGTCTAATCAGAATGTTCCGGTATTTTGACAGCCAGTGGGGCCGACTAGCACGATACTAAAGCTTGGCCCATCGGGAGATTCCTTCATCTGCAAAGTTTAGCTTAGATGGAGGAATCTGTTGCAGTTTTTCCATCTGACCATAGAAAATCTGCAGGTGTCTGGCCAGCTTCACAGGAAGATTTGGCCAGTGTGGCTGCCCGAAGGCTGTCAAATGCAGATGGTGGTAAAATGAGTTGGTATGGCTCATGAGCAGGACCATCTTAAAAGGGATACACATTTTTTTCTAACGTGTACCATCCTTTTATGATGATATTTGGTCATGTTTCCCCCATACCAATGCCCAGCTAACCATTTATTTTTATCTTTTGCTTTTAACAAAAGCTTGAAAATTTGCCTTTAAAAAGTTGGCACTAAAATCCCTAGCATTGGCTGACGTCCTACACTGAGGAGAGCAGCGACGTCACTCCCCCAATGCGTGTCCGTGCTCAGGCCTAGTGATTGGATGTTAGAGCCATGCACTGTCACATAGGAGGAAGCCACCCCATACCTGAAAGCAATGAGTGCTGGAGCTGGCTACGTTGTAGGCAGGAGCGGTGAGGTAACACGGGGAGGGTGAGGAGCATCAAGGGTTTGAGGAGGACTTTACAAAAACACTGTCACTTCGTTCTAAATGGGCAAGGTGACAGCAGGGCTGTAGCTACCATGGGGCGAGTGAGCCACTCGCCTCAAGCGCAGCTGAGAGGGGGCGTAGCAAAGGCCAGTCTCTGTTGCCATGGTGAGCACAGGGCGGCATTGGCAACAGGGGCACCAGGCAGCCAAAACAGCCGCGGCTCGGCAGGGAGAAGAGGAGCGGCACAGGCTTCAGCTTCTCCTCGGAACCCCGCTGCTGTCCCCCACCTGCATGGGCAGAGGACTCTGTGTCCTCAATCTCTTTTTCTATTTCAAAAGAGAAATGTCAGGGATCTGTTTAGACCCCTAATATTTCCCCAAATTCCCCGGAAACTAAAAATGTTTTCATAAAATGTCACAACGCACACGTCTGCCTTGGGCGCAAAAGGAGCTAGCTACGGCTCTGGGTGACAGTGTCTCTTTAAATGGAAGTCCCATTGTTCCACCACAGAAACAAAAATATGACCACCATTACCCCTTATACCCCTTACTTACAAATGGAATTACATCACTTTTTTTTTTTTAGTAAAATTATATTTTCAGAAATGTTAGCGAGAATAAAAAAAATTTTAAAAAAAATTTGATTTTCCTGCGCTTAGTGTGCTCCTCGACCTTGTTTAGCTGTGTGGATTCAGAAGGAATAGTCTTGATTTGATCAGTTTGAGACGTTTCTGAGTTACTTCGCAGATGGATCTGAACTAGAGCTGATCTCTTCCTGACCTGCATTTGATTTCAAATTCTGTATTAAGCTGTTTTTTAAGCTGGGGAGAAATTAAAAATGGAGGAGAACTATGGGGTTCAGGCTTTTCCCCATAGTTCTCCTTAGGGTAACGGGAGGACACAAACTAGCATCCTCCCGTCACCCTAGGCTCAGTATACCGCGAGCTGTAGCTCGCGGTATACTGAGATGCCGCATTCACGGCAGAGAGCCGTGACAGGATCGAGAGGTGAGCAAAAGCCGGTATGTGTTCGCTCACCTCCCGATCTACTGAGCCGACCTGTGACAGTTTCATTGTCACAGGTCGGCTAGAACTATGAGGTGAGTGAAAAGCACTCACCTCATAGTTCTCCTTTAAGCTGTGAGCTACATGGTGTATGCGTGACATCCAAGATGGTTTGCGGTTTTATGATGATTTCTCTGAGGTAACCATAAACACAAGTGAACAGATCCAAAAGATTAGAGCAAAGTTAGGAAACATAAATCAGGAGGGAAAAAGGTCATGAAAAGCTGAGCTTGGGCTTTAAATCGGTCTAGATTTACATACAAGTCCTACGAAGACAATGACACATGAAAATCCATAGCTCATCAGTAGATTGCACTCATGGCTAGGGATGAACCGAAATTTCGGCCGCCAAAACATATGAGCCAAAAATGGCACTTCAGGCAAAATGCCGAACGTGCCATCATTCAGCCGAAGTAACGGTGAACCCCTGGTTTCTCTCCTCCCCACAGGCCGCTGCACTCTGTCCCCTCTGACACAGCGCAGAGTCCAGTCGGGAGGAGAGAAACGGTCACAGGATTCTGTGACAGATTAGAAGAGCGGCGGTGTGGGGATGGAGACAGCTGTCACAGGAGGCTGAGCTCGCCTACCCGCACAGCCTCCTGTGACAGCGAATCAGGAAGGAGAGTGCGTACAAGTAGTCAGTGATCGCTGACTGCTTGTAAATAATTGGAGGACAGAGTATGCTTACTGTATCCCCAATTATGTATCCCCAATTATGAATGAATGGGAAGTGATATACAATCACTTCCTGTTTATTCAAGACTGTGGACATAGTAAACATACTCCATGTCCTCCTGTTATCAATGAACAGCAACACTCAGTGTAGAGGATTTATGTTCATTCATAACAGGGTTACTCATGGCTACACACATAGGAAGAACCACAGCAATAAGTTATCTGGAACAGAACATGCAGACTTACAGAATTGTGCTCCTTCAAGTAGTTAGCAGCATTTTCCTCAGCACTGCCTCCGATCTCCCCAATCAGAATGATACCTTCTGTCTTCGGATCATTCAAGAAGACCTCCAAACAGTCTATGAAGTTTGTACCGTTGAACGGATCTCCTCCAATGCCTTCAGGAGCGGAGAGTGAAAACCTCAGTAATGGATTGTTCCTTTACATAAATTCTCAAACCAATGATGTTACCGCACAACTAAAGTGTGTTCAAAGTTCACATAAACACTTCAAAAAACTATGGGGGCTCTTTATAAAAAAAAAAAAAAAAAAAAAACAACAACTTGCATAGCTATTGGTGCAGCACAACTGCGTGTACATTTGTTCTGTGTGAATCCACCAGCTGTCGTTAGACAGAATCCAACGTTCTTGGGCATTTTTCTCTTCTGTTCGAATGTTCTAATGGGCAGTAGTAAACAGGTTCCTTCATAGAGTGAATTGAGAAAATACCACATTAGGTCCCTTTCACACTATCCACGAACGCATACCCTCCTGATCGGAGCAGTACTAATAGGATATCACCACTGTGGCATCCATGCCAGTCCAGTTTTCTCCATCTTGGAGGTACAAAAACCCTTGAGGAAGTTTTTTCCTTATCATGAGGAAAAAAGAAAAAACATAAAATGATTGCACCCCATGTGGTTCTATGGGGAATCAGATGTAAATGGACTTCCAATTACATCAGGTTACACTGATCCGGCACAATCAGGTCCAGCGAAACGGACTACTGTTCTGCTTATTTTTCCAGACCTGGCTGGAGCTGGGGGCAACCGGATGTAAACAGACACCCGTCCGTTTAGATCTGGCTGCCCATAGACCCAAAGTGCCCATACACCTTACAATTATCTGCAGATTTGCTGTGGTCAGATAGAAAAAGTGCAACAGATTGGCCCAGAGGTTCCTCCATCCACACAGTTAAGTGTGGATGGAGGAATCTGTTGCACCTTTTCAATCTGACCATAGAAAATCTGCAGATAATTGTAAGGTGTATGGCCAGCTTTAAGGTGCCCATACACTGTACGATTCTCGTACGAGAATCGCGGGAAATCCCGCGATCGTACGAGAATCGTACAGTGTATGGAAGGCGTGCGACCGTACAGTAGAAACGGTCGCAGGCCTTCCATACACTGTACGAACAAGCAGGCTGGAAAACCCGCTGGGAATCGTACGATTCTCGGCGAGTGAGTGGCCTGCTGGTTCGACAACTGACGAACTGCCCGTTTGCCGTCCTTGCAAGCCCGCCCCTCATTGCAGTCATCGCAAGTACGATCTGCCTGTCCAAGATGGGCAGATTGTACGTTTTTTTTTAAGTACTTTACAACCATCGCAAGACTAAGGTCTTGCGATGGTTGTAAAGTGTATGGCCACCTTTACATTGGGTATAAGGGTGATTTTTCTAGGCCAGCCCAAACAGACCGCCCGTCTGAAAGGGCTTTATGGCCAACAGATGGACCAGAGGATCACAGGAAATAAATGCATCTTAGTAATACAAGGGGCAGTATAACAGTTCAAAAGGCTGGGGGGAATTAGCAAGCAAATCTAACCTTTGTTACTATGAGGTTTTCCCATAGTAGCAATGGTTACATACATTTGCTAATTCTATCTTTTAAGTGATCTGCACTGTCAAATGGAAAGTGTAAATCACTGTACTGTGCTCATGCGCAAACTCAAGGGCAAGAATGAGCACAGTAAAAAAAAGAAGTTTTAAAACATTGTCAGACCCTGAGAGGGCTGTTGTCTGCCTGTGTATGAAAATTGGACAGACAAGTAGTTAAAAGGAGAACTATGAGGTGAATGCTTTTCACTCACCTCATAGTTCTAGCCGACCTGTGACAATGAGACTGTCACAAGTCGCCTCAGTAGATCGGGAGGTGAGCGAACACATACCGGCGTTCGCTCACCTCTCGATCCTGTCACAGCTCTCTAACGTGACAGGCGAGGGGCTGGATTCCCCCCTCCACGCTCGGATGCTCCAGCGCTGACTGGCGGAATGGATGGGGAGGGGGCTGGTACAGCTGGTTCTGCCTCTAGATAGGCAGAGCCAGCTGTCAGTCACGCAGCTGGGCAGATCCAGACACAATTGTCGGGATCCGCTTCAGCTGCGGCGTCTCAGTATACCGCGAGCAGCAGCTCGCGGTATACTGAGCCTAGGGTGACGGGAGGACGCCAGTTTGTGTATCTACTTCCAGGAGGAATAGGCAATAATACGGTCATGGGGGGCCTGCTGAGTTAATGTTAAAGACACACACACACACACACACACACCAATTTACATTGCCTGTCCAAAAAAAAACCTCACCACCTTGATGTAGCTAAACAAATAGGTCAGAGCCTTCTGTTGGATAATAGGTCTAGGTCAGGGGTCAGCAACCTGCGGCTCCGGAGCCGCATGTGGCTCTTTCATCCCCCTGCTCCAGCTCCCTGTCCAGGGGGAGATCGGCATCGCAGATGGTATTTCCAGAACTGATCTGCCCTGGAACAGCTGTTCGGTCCTGAAATGTCACTTCTATCCGACTTTGTGAGTGCAGTGGAATGTGAGATCGCACTCAGAGTCGGATAGAAGTGACACTTCAGGACCGAACAGCTGTTCCAGGGCAGATCAGTTCTCCTGGACATACCATTTGCGATGCTGATGTGTCCTGGAACAGCTGACAAAGCGTTGGAATGCTTGACCTATCGGTGGTCACACATTCCACCGCCAAAAAACTGGGCGTGATTACATTGAACTGTGTGACCATGTCACCGGTCACACATTGTAACGTAGTCACAAACTTTGATAGAACACCGCCATCAGGAGGGGTACGGCCAGTACCCATGTGAGGAGTCTGGGCAGCCTGGGGGGCCTCTTACATGGCAGAGGTGACAGGGGAGGGGGTGGAGGAGGACAGACCCCAGCAGCAGCTGGTAAAAGGAGTTGGGAGGAGGTACAGGGAAAGGGACCCCGGGTGACCAGCCCACCTGAGTCCCTGCAGAGCCCACCATAGAGAGTCTCAGATGGGCTGTGCAGGGTCAATATCAGGTGGGCTCTGCAGGGTCTCAGAGTCCAGTGCGTTACTAAGCCCTGAGTCCAGTGCGTTACTAAGCCCAGAGTCCAGTGCATTACTAAGCCCACATATACATGCTATACAGAGCATAAAAGGTAAAAAACGCTATATGACATCTTATCTTCATTTTAGATGTCAAAAGGGTTTTGTGGCTCCCGGTGCTTTCTTTTGTGTGGGGAAACCGGTCCAAATGGCTCTTTGAGTGTTCCAAGGTTGCTGACCCCTGGTCTAGGTTCAGCAATGTTATGTCGCCAAAAAATGAGGTCAGGTGTCTACCTGAATATACATAATGACCAGGTTTTTTGATCAATTGATTTTTCTTCCCTGATGGCACATTGGGCATATTCCAAGATGCCAATGCCGGCATTCATCGGGCTCAGATTGTGAAAGAGTGGTCCAGGGAACACGAGACATCATTTCCATCACAGAGTCCAGACCTTAACCCCATTGAGAATCTTTGGGATGTGCTTAAGACTTTACGACTCTCTCATCATCACTACAAGATCTTGGTGAAAAATGAATGCAACTCTGGATGGAAATACATGTTGTGATATTGCATAAGCTTATGGAAAAAATGTTTTTAAAAAAAAGACACGGTGAATGTGTGCCGTAATCAAAGCTACAGGCGGTCCAACAAAAAATTAGCGTTGTGTGTTTTTTTTTTTGGATAGGCAGTGGGTATAAAAAAAAAATAAAAAATAAAATTTAGAATACAAATAACATAATTAAAAAAAAAGTATAAAAATGATTATCCCCATAGCTCCACTTTAAAAATCTATTCTTCTGTTACTAAATGAAAAAAGATAATAAACTGCAATGGATTCTCCTGTATTTTCTTGGAGTCTTCAGAGCCTCTATTTTTTTTTTTTACAATGGAACAAAAAAGTGTCTGTCTGTACACATGTACACACTCTCTTACATCTGACAGAGCAAACAAAGCCTTACCAACACACAGCGACTGCCCCAATCCAACCTGCGTCGTCTGATGCACAGCTTCATACGTCAGAGTTCCTGATCTTGACACGATACCTGCAGAATACACACACGCTTCTTTGAACATCATGTAACAGGAGTGTCATGTTTATTTCAGCAGCACACCGATGAAAACTGCAAACTGCGCACACATTAACATTTCGAGAAAGCGAGGCAAACAGGGAACGGCTCCTCAACGCTGTGGATAGAGATCGGTTTTACTTCAGGTCTGGGATTAGAAGAAACCGCCGCAGTGTTCCCGGATATCACAATACTGTGACCTCCACCAGCCAGACAGAAGCAGCAATTGTGTGGGAAGGATTTTTTTTCTTCACTACCATTACATAATTAGCGATATCATTTGCTGTGCATGTCTATTTTGTGCACAAAGCATTACAGCTAATTGAGGAGCTGAAAGGGAACAGGAAAAAAGAAAGCTTCCGTCCAATAGAACATTCAACTTAACTGCAGTGGAGTTCTCAATGCAGAGCTGTTCTTATAGAATAGTTATGAGCTATGTGAAGAGGTTATGATGTGCAGCTCAGTACTCAAAGTGCGTTACTCCCACCTAGCAGTAGAAAAGGGGAACTGAAAAGAAACCAAGGGCCTATTCACATCTTTACGCTTCAGTGCCCTTTACCATGAGGCAAACCTCAATCTAAACTGCATAGAATTCATGTTCTACTGTCTTCAATGGGGTATTCTTGAACTCTGCAGTTTGGGAAATGCATTTAAAAAGAAAAATCCTGCATGCTGTAGAATCCACGTGGTTCCCTGCAACAGCATCTTCGCTGTAGAATCCACATGGTTCCCAGCAACAGCACCTTCGCTGTAGAATCCACATGGTTCCCAGCAACAGCACCATTGCTGCAGAATCCACCTGGTTTCCAGCAACAGCACCTTCACTGTAGAATCCACCTGGTTTCCAGCAACAGCACCATTGCTGCAGAATCCACATGGCCTCCAGCAACAGCACCTTCACTGTAGAATCCACATGGTTTCCAGCAACATCGCTGAAGAATCCACATGGTTTCCAGCAACAGCACCTTCGCTGTAGAATCCACGTGGTTCCCAGCAACAGCACCATCGCTGTAGAATCCACATGGTTTCCAGCAACAGCACCATCGCTGTAGAATCCACATGGTTTCCAGCAAAAGCACCTTCACTGTAGAATCCACGTGGTTTCCAGCAACATCGCTGAAGAATCCACATGGTTTCCAGCAACAGGACCTTCGCTGTAGAATCCACGTGGTTTCCAGCAAAAGCACCAGCGCTGCAGAATCCACATGGCCTCCAGCAACATCGCTGAAGAATCCACATGGTTTCCAGCAACAGGACCTTCGCTGTAGAATCCACGTGGTTTCCAGCAAAAGCACCAGCGCTGCAGAATCCACATGGCCTCCAGCAACATCGCTGAAGAATCCACATGGTTTTCAGCAACATCACCTTCGCTGTAGAATCCACGTGGTTCCCAGCAACAGCACCATCGCTGTAGAATCCACATGGTTTCCAGCAACAGCACCATCGCTGTAGAATCCACATGGTTTCCAGCAACATCGCTGCAGAATCCACATGGCCTCCAGCAACAGCACCATCGCTGCAGAATCCACATGGCCTCCAGCAACAGCACCTTCACAGTAGAATCCACATTGCCTCCAGCAACAGCACCTTCGCTGTAGAATCCACGTGGTTCCCAGCAACAGCACCATCGCTGTAGAATCCACATGGTTTCCAGCAACATCGCTGAAGAATCCACATGGTTTCCAGCAACAGCACCTTCACTGTAGAATCCACATGGTTTCCAGCAACAGCACCATCGCTGAAGAATCCACATGGTTTCCAGCAACAGCACCTTCACTGTAGAATCCACATGGTTTCCAGCAACAGCACCATCGCTGAAGAATCCACATGGTTTCCAGCAACAGCAACATCGCTGAAGAATCCACATGGTTTCCAGCAACAGCACCTTCACTGTAGAATCCACATGGTTTCCAGCAACAGCACCATCGCTGTAGAATCCACATGGCCTCCAGCAACAGCACCTTCACTGTAGAATCCACATGGTTTCCAGCAACATCGCTGCAGAATCCACATGGTTTCCAGCAACATCGCTGAAGAATCCACATGGTTTCCAGCAACAGCACCTTCACTGTAGAATCCACATGGTTTCCAGCAACAGCACCATCGCTGTAGAATCCACGTGGCCTCCAGCAACAGCACCTTCACTGTAGAATCCACATGGTTTCCAGCAACAGCACCTTCACTATAGAATCCACATGGTTTCCAGCAACATCGCTGAAGAATCCACATGGTTTCCAGCAACAGCACCTTCACTGTAGCATCCACATGGTTTCCAGCAACATCGCTGTAGAATCCACATGGTTTCCAGCAACAGCACCATCACTGTAGAATCCACATGGTTTCCAGCAACATCACCATCGCTGTAGAATCCACGTGGTTTCCAGCAACATCGCTGTAGAATCCACGTGGCCTCCAGCAACAGCACCTTCGCTGTAGAATCCACATGGTTTCAAGCAACAGCACCATCGCTGTAGAATCCACGTGGCCTCCAGCAACAGCACCTTCACTGTAGAATCCACATGGTTTCCAGCAACATCGCTGAAGAATCCACATGGTTTCCAGCAACAGCACCTTCACTGTAGAATCCACATGGTTTCCAGCAACAGCACCATCGCTGAAGAATCCACATGGTTTCCAGCAACTTCACTGTAGAATCCACATGGTTTCCAGCAACATCGCTGAAGAATACACATGGTTTCCAGCAACAGCACCTTCACTGTAGAATCCACATGGTTTCCAGCAACAGCACCATCGCTGTAGAATCCACATGACAGTGTGTGGCTCTTGCTGTGACAGCTGTCTACACTCAGCCTCCTGAAACCTTCTCTCCTTCCGGTGGTTGCCGGTTTCTGTCCCCTCAGATCCCTTCTGCCTCTGGCAACATGGGCAGGAAAGAGCGGGGGGGGGGGCACAGACAGACAGGATACAGACCGGCGTCTGGTAGCAAAATGTTTAAAAAGGAGCAAAAATCATAAGTTGGTTAAAAAAAATACAAGATTTGGAAAATAAAAAACCCCCAAAAAAATGCCCAGTTTTTTTTCCCTTTTACTATTTTAATCCCGTTACTCTGCACTAAACATATTCGCCTAGGACATTTTACAATACCTTTTCATTTATTCAGCTCCAAATTTAAGGAAAGGCAGAGACGCTGCCATTAAACTTGGGCTTTATGAGCGCACAAAAAAATATATCTACAAAATGTAATTGAATTCCTATTTGATTTTTCAATTTTCAGTTTATGGGTACTATTCTGAGCACAGAGATGCGCTGAATACTAATAATCCCGGCGTCCGCACACCCGCGCTTCACTTTCCACGCAGGTATAAAAGCCGTGAGAAAAAAAAAAAAGCGGCGCTAGAACAAAACCTCATTATCATCTTCCTGAACTAAAAAGCTTTTGTCAAGGGCTCTTCTCAGCCACTTGTTTTATTATGTTGATACCAGAAGTTATTTTAGTGAAAAAAAAGTACACAAGCGAGAGAGATCGGGGCTTTCCGGTAATAAATCATCAGTTTTGTGTGATTTTATTTATTTAAAGCAAACCTGTAACAAAAAGCAAGAAAAAAAAAAGGCCACAAAAAAAAAAAAAAAATCAAGTTAAAAGAGATAGCCGCCAGATCTGAAGTGTATATAAACCCAAAACATCATATTTACCTACATCCTCTTACCCTTTACATCAGGGGGAGGCAAACTCCAGCCCTCCGACTGTGGTGAACCTACAAATCCCATCATGCATCTGGAAGTCATGCCTGTGGCTATCGGGAGTCTTGCAATGCCTCATGGGACACATCATTGCACCACAGCTGGAGTGCTGTAGTTTGCCTACCCCTTCTCTACAGTCAAAGTACCATCTTGGCCATTTGAGGGATTGATAGTTCGGTTGAGAGCTGAACCACACACTGGCAAGCTTGACTGTTGGCGTGCCTTGGAAGTAACTGTTTTGGGAGACAGTTAACTTCCAGCGGGTTCACGTAAATGTACGTCATCCGCTGGAAGTGGTTATACCAGGATTAGGCACCCTCGGCTTTCCAGCTGTGCTGTAAGTACAAATCCCATCATGCTTCTGCCTCTGGGAGTCATGCCTGTGGCTTGCAATGCCTTATGGGATTTGTAGTTTCAGCACAGCTGGAGGGCAAAGTTTGCCTACCCCTGGGTTATACCAAGAAAACGACTGCTGCTGCACCTGTGTTCTTGGTATGGTTTTATACAGCTGGAGATTGCCGTTTAAATACAAGCGATTTGACGTCTGTACATGCGCAGGACCAATGTACGGGGCGGAGGGGGGACAGTGGAGCCCGGGACTGGCGTGGAGGGTCTCCCCTGATAGATCGGAGGAGAGATCAGGTCGGCACCAATACTGATACTAGTATAGGTATCGGTGCATCTCTGATCTCTACATCATCATGATTGATACAAGGAGAAACGCTCCAATCCATTCAAGTTAGTGGAATTTTGTGGGGTCATAATATGGAGAAGGGTGTTAAGTTGTGCAGTGCTGTTGCTCTGGTATAAATGTTAGAGGCGGGGGGGACTCATAAGTCAGATATATTTAGCCCAGGAAGGGTTACTTAGCCAAAACAGCACGGTGACCATAGAAGATTAATTTATAGGCACACAGTGCTCAGAGTTCTTTTTTTTCATATCCAGCCAACAAGCGATAATTCTTCTACTAGAACAGTAACTGGATGAAAAAAAAAAAAAAAAAAATCACTTTGGCTAGAAGAGATGGACTATTCCCAGAATGCATCTGTTCATCTCCAGTCACCCAAAAGGGAACATATGTCAGGAACCTGCTACGTTCTCGCTGTCCCTTCAGGCAGATGATGGCCCGGCTTTGTAAAACACGGCACTGGCCCAAAAAATGGATGTCAGCTGTAATATTATTTTATAAGATGACCCGTTCAGTGCGTGGCTGTACGGTAAATACCTTGCTTCCTAAACGACGACCATTGCTCTTCTTTATACCCTTTGTACTGCCGAAGGAAAAAAATTGGGAGGAGAAGGAGCGACGGCTCCAGCAGAGACACAATATCATCTCATAAAAAGGACCTTTCCGGCTGATGAAGAACCTGAGCGTATTCAGAGCTACTCTGGAAGCAATAAATACAATGCGGCTCCATCGCCCCAGAAATATTTCATCCAGCAGGGGTTTAAATAGGTTTAATATTTTTTGATAGAGATTCTCTCTATCTATATACACACACACACAGATATATATGTATAGATCTATAGCGAATATATATGTATAGATATAGATCTATAGCGAATATTATATATATATATATATAGCTTGAAAAATTTGACGGTGTCTCACCAGTCAGTAAAAAATGTCACCAGTCAGCATGACCGGACTATAGCCTTGCAATTTATGTTAACAAATTTTAACAGGGCTACCCATGCACTGTAAGGGTTAAGTGCTAATTTTTGTCTAGGGAGCTAAAATAAAGTTATACTCGCCTGAACCACAATCTCGGCTGGCTCCTACACCGCTCCCTTCACTGCAGCCATGGCATGTCCCTCGGCGTCCTCACGTCCTATACACTGTCTATAGAACATGATGACTCTGGGACCTCAGACTGCTGGAGCGGTGGGGGAGCGAGTTCAAGGGAGCAATCTAAGAGCAAGCCGGCTTGGAGGATTGGGTGAGCACAACTTTGTTTTTTAGCTCCCTAGGCAAAACGAGGACTTAAAGGAGAATATGTATGTATGTATGTATGTATGTATGTATGTATGTATGTATGAATGTATGTATGTATGTATGTATGTATGTATGTATGTATGTATGTATGTATCTCTATATATATATATATCTACATCTAGATATCTAATTATATACACACACACACAAATGTGATTTACACAACTCCACCTCTCAACATTTGCGTTGAAGTTTAACCCCGTCGTGGCGGAAAACGTACACTGCCACTGTGTGCCCAAATGACTGATCATGTACACTACGTGAACATCTATTTCGGGTTGCTGTAATGGCGGTAACTGCTGATGACCGCAGTGTTAAACCCCCTTCCCATCCAGGCCATTTTTCAGTGTTCAGCGCTGCGGTATTTTGACTGACATTTATTCCGTCATGCATCGTTGTACTGAAATTAATTTGATACCATTTTTTGGGGACACATGGAGCTTTCTTTTGGTGGTATTTAATCACCACTGCGGTTTTAATTTTTTACTATATTAAAAAGGAAAAATTAACAAAATTAAAAAAAAAGTTTTCCCCATGTTATAAAACATTTATTACTTGTGGTAAAATTAGGTACCTCGGCTTATATTCGGGACGGCTTATACTCGAGTATATACGGTAACCAATTTTTCGGTAAAATATAAAAGACGGGGTCACGTTGGGTTAAATAGACACCAAACATGTCAAGCCTTAAAATAGAGCCGCCCAAACCGCTTGTCTAACAGCCGTTATTGGAGACTAGGATCAGTGTGCTCTGCTCGGGGGCGCACGCAAGCAGAGAGAAAAAAAAGCCGTATATTTACGGCGCACCGCTGGAGGGAGCTTGCCGTCCATCCAGTGGCGTCACAAGTGGGGTGCGGCCCACACCCGGGGACACCATTGGAGCGGTGACACCAAAATGACAGTCATTTTGGTGTCACCCCCTCTCTGAAAAGTCAGGCGCTCGGTCATGGACCAAACGCCTGACACTATCAGGAGAGAGGAGGGGACCCGGCGGCATACCTTATTCCACCGGGTGACTGTCCCCTCCTCTCTCTGCCGGCCTCCATCACCAAGATGGCCGCCAGCAGGTATCAGAATACTGCCGCATGCGCAGTGACACTAGGTTACCGCTCCGGGTGTCACCCAGCCTCGGGACGCCCCTGCGTCCGTCTATTTATTTACAAAGGGTGGACGGCAAGTAGTTAAGTAATGACAAAGTTGTCAACAAATAAACAGGAGCCTTGTGGAATTTCTCTGGTCCATAAGGGGTATTAAGGTACGAGAGTGGACGAGATTAAACCCTTTACAATATCCAGTAGCAGAGTACAGATGCTTATCACCACCCATCAAATACAACAATCCTGATCCATTCAGATTTTTCTATAGTGTTCTGACTGTATTTACTTACCGATTCTTCCTTTCTTGTGGATGTGTCCGGGCATGATGCCAATCTTACATTCACCAGGCTAGAGAGATCATTGATAAGATACAATTAAGAAAAGTTCAGTAACATCCATTTATCTGTAAATAACATTAAACTGGCACTAAACTCAGGAGTTAAAATCATATAAATGCATTCAAGTACCCCATCAACAAAAATGTATCTTATTTGTGTATCACTCCGCTGTAGAGCCTCAAATACTCTCTGAATTGGTGCTGGCACTGCTCTTCCTTCTGGAGGGTGGCTACTTTTGTTCCCCATGGTCCCTGTGTGTGTTGTAAAGCAGTCGTCGCTCCAAGCTCGCTCCCGTGATGGACTACAGTCTCATGTTTAGTTTAATATATTGTAATGAGATTGTAGTCCATCAGGGGAGCGAGCTTGGAGCAGTGGCTACTTTACAACACACAGGGACCATGGGTAACAGAAGTAGCCATTCTCCAGAAGGAAGGACAGTGTCAGCACCAATTCAGAGATGATTTGAGGATCTACAGCCGAGTGATCACAAATAAGATACATGTTTGTTAATAGTTAAGGCACTCCAATATATTTATATGAGTTTAGTGTCACTTTGATGTGCACCTGTAATTCCAAAGTGAGGCATATTCAAATTATGCTTTAAATTCAGCTGTTTACAGGGTTGACCTCCTTTTCAGTATAAATCAAATGTTTTGTCAGATATTGAGCCTCAAGAGTCTACCCCGATCTAATATGCATGCTCTCCATAAGGCAACGTCTTGACATCTACCTGATGCCGAACAGATGAGAGCACAATGATGGAACGGCGTCATAAGTCACAATGCCCTCACATGCTGATCCCACCAGAAATGAACATCGGGGCTCCTGAGCACATAATAGGAAAACAACACTCGGCCAGGACAGCAAACTATGTACACATGGGTAGGAATTCACTGGTACAATATGAGGGCAGATCATTGAGGGCGTTCCTGGTAGAAGAGGCCTGCCCTGAAAAGAGATGACACCAGCATCTGAGGAACAACATGCTGCATTGAAAATAGGTGTGTGTAGAACAATGAACACACAATTTGGGGATTGTGGAGATTTTCTTAAAGTGACCCAGTCCCAATACAAAAATGCCAGAGGGCATACTGGTAAAAAAAAAAAAATGTAAAAGTAGATTTCTGAACTCCGTACTGAACCTAAGAAACCACCCCCCAAAGTCCAAGAGGAAACTGACACTTCCCGTCTGGTAAAACATCAGCAGGGCTGTAGGAGGGGGGAAACCTCTCTAACGGAGCCCCAAATAGCAGTTATAAACATGACAGGGGTTCTAATCATTCTCCACTCTATCCATAACTAGAAGAAAGTTTTGGTTGGGTGTACAATTTAAAGCTGAGCTCCGGGGAGATGTCAAAACTACACTTGCAGTGAGGCTCTACCTGCATTGCAAGAGTTAAATGCTTGTTTTCATAAAGGGGAACAATAAAAAGTTTTACTTAACTTATCCCTCAAGCCCCATTGCAAGGGTAGTGGTAACATTTCCCTGGAGTTAAAGGAGATCTAGGAGGTGAGTGATTTCCACTCACTCATAGTTAGAGCCAACCTATGACAAAAGAAGCTGTCACAGGTCGGCTCTATTAGTCAGGAAGGGAGCAGAAACATGCACAATCTGCTCACTTCCCGAATGTCTCCCTGCAGTGAGTGG